GTCCAGGCACTCTGCAAGCTTTTCTTTCCTTCTGTTTAGTGTGTATCTGTATACTGTACACTAAGTCTCATGGTCAAGCTGACTGAAGATGGACTTAAACCACTGTAAGAATCCTGTGCCGCATGTAGTGAGAAAGTGTAAATGACTGTTTCATAGCTGCAACTCTGGGCTCTCTTTGATCAGTCTTGCTCTGCAGGCTGCAGGAAAATGTCTCTCTGAAAATGCCATCTGAGAGAAACCTGGTACTTCCTTTATCTTTGGAAACCTGAATTGAATGGTAACTCACCCATGCCCTCAATTTATGCTGCTAGGTGAGGCAAAAAATGGAAGAGCAAGTCGCTCAGAAATCATCTGAACTGGAACAGTATTTACAGAGGGTACGTGAACTGGAAGAGATGTATAATCAGCTCCAGGAAGCTTTGGAGGTTGAGAAACAGGCACGTCAGGATGAAGAGACTGTAAGGAAACTTCAAGCCAGGTATGTGTTTTACCCAGTGGTGATGTTTCTGTTCCCTCTCCCCTGCACTAATAACCAACTGTGCCATGCTTTTGAAGACTGCATCTTGCACACTGTGCTGGGAAGGGGAAATAAAATGTAAAGACAGGGGAGGTTTTCTTCTGTTAAGTTATGAAGGCCAAAATTGGCATTCATGTTTTTTCTGCATGTTTTTATTAGCCCCTAACAGGGATAGTGCTCAGTAACTTCAGAAGAGCAGGCTCACTTACTTTTCACCATGAATTGTGCCTGTCCACACTTGAAAACTGTCATCATTCTGTACAAATTTTCAGTTGTGTGTTTTATAAAGTAGCAGCTGGGAATACAGCTTGCTGTTGTATTTCAACTGGTAAAGGGTTAAATCTTCTGTTACGTGTATGAGCTTCACTTTCTGTGATTTCATGGAGTTGCTCCTCTCCAGACAATTAAGATAACTCATGCGTTTGTTTCTTCTCTGGTTTTCATTGTTTTGCATTTGCATCATTGACTGAATTTTCTGAATAGCCCTTTGTAGCAGTGAGCCTCCTGCACTGCTGGAGTGACTTCAGAGCCACACTGAAGACAAGCCAAGAAGCAGTAACATTTTCTCTGCTTCCCGATATTTGACTTTATTTTTAACTAAAATTTCCAAGAAATAAAGTGATTAGCTTGGCTCTCCTCTGTGTATGCTACATAGTGGCTACAACTTACTGTGAAGTGCAGCTAACACCATAATCCCCATTGCAGATTACTGGAAGAGGAGTCAGCAAAGAGAGCTGAACTGGAAAAATGGCACTTGCAGCAGCAGCAGACCATTCAGATGACAGAAGCAGAGAAGCAGGAGCTAGAAAACCAGAGAATGATAAAGGAGCAGGCTCTTCAGGTTGCTATGCAGCAACTGGAACAGCTTGAACTGGAAAGGAAAGAGGCCCTTGAGCAATATGAGGTGAGCCATTCTGTTTATCAGCCTCTCCTGTTGGCCAGGTATGCAGTGTTTCAACTGAATCTGAAGTTCCTCAATGTCATGCTTGTTTAAGGATTAGCAAAGCACAAGATTTATAAGAACAGGTCAGGTAGTTATGTGATTTTTTTTTTTTTTTTTTTTTTTTTTTTTTTTTGGCCACAGACCAGTATATGTGCCTGAAGAGGACAGGTTTAAAATATACCACTCCTTTATTCTTTTATCCTCATTCCTATGCAGCCAGCTCAGTCATAGCCTGAAATGCTCTTGACGTGTCTGTCTGTTGCTGTATGCAGTCCCATTGCTGCCATAATCAGATGTGATGCTTTTGAATTAGTTACTCTTGCAATGTTTTGATGGTGTAATGGGACAGTGTCTTCTCCAGGTGAAATAGTGCTGTGCACCTGTAAGCCCTTGTTCCTTTAGAAGTACTTAAGTACTGAATTGATATTGAGGATGGCAAGGAATGAGTCGAGATCCTCTAATGTAGCGGTGCCTTGTCTCCTAAATGCCAGGCCTGTTCTCTGTTCTGCTGAGCATTTTTTGTGTAGGCCAGTAGCTGTACTTGTGGAAGAAATGTGAAGTATTTCTCAGAATTACTCAGAAGTGAGTGCAGAGACCATTTCTCTGTACTTCACAGGGCTGGAGAGGTGTCGCCCCTGCTTCTGTTTAGGTCAGGAAAACAAAACAGTGAGATTTCTGTTTAATTGGGAGTGTATTTATGCTGTCACTGTGTCCTTGGAGTTAGATTCTGTGAAGGACAGACTGTACAGCTGGACTGGCACAGGATATAGTGCCACTTTACGACTCACCGTGTTGGGGCTGCATCTAACTCATCATGAGTGTTACTTTCAGGAAATACTCAGCTTTTTTGTATATGCAGTATCATTTACTGCTCTGTACTGCTGGCTGACTGTAAGAGAATTAAAAAACAAACAGTACAGCTGAAGTGGTGGAGTGCGGTAGTTCACATTATTTTAGGAATAATTGATCATGCCCACCTTCTATTTAGAATTGGCCAAAAGACCAGTTTACACAGAAGAATGTCTCTTTCTTGCTTGTGGCTATCAGCTGCCTGTTCCATTTATCACATCATGATTTCTAACTGTGAGATGTATTCAGTTATTAGATCACAGTACTACTAAATATAGACTTGTACTAAACTACAGTTTATATATGTTTTTGATCTTCTTGAAGAGCAGCTGTAGTTACACAGCTACAGGCATCTTACGGCCCCGGTTATTGCTGGATTTTGGTTTGATGACTTACTTTTACATAGCCAGTGAGTGACTAAATGAGTGAACGTGTTGATCTGAAATGGAACAGCCCTGTCCACACTGAGCAGTGCAGCCTGACAGAGCATGGTACAGATGTTAGATTGAAAAATGTTTTATTTTTGTATAAATACAATCAAGTTATTTTCATTTTTTAAATGGGGCTGTGTTCTATTTCAGGAGGTTAAAAAGAAGTTGGAAACGGCAGCTAATAACACCAGGAGCTGGAAAGACAAAGTAGCTCATCATGAGGGATTAATTCGACTAATAGAGCCAGGTAAACAAGGTACCAACATTAAAATCACAAAAGCATTGTACTCACATGTGTGCATCAACCAGCTGTGTATTCTTGTAGCTTACTGGCTTCTCTACAGCCTATAAACACTACATTGTCAGAACTGCTGGTCAGAGTAGCATCTTCTCTCTGAGTGGTGGGGTGGTTGTGAAGAAGGAAGTTTGCAACTCTGCACTACTTAAAGTGTATTACAAAAAAGTGCTGTTAATGTAAGACTTAAAACGTGTGTGCAGTGCAGTGTAAGTGGTGAAGGATCCTGACTGATTAGACTGCTGCCTGCTGAGGATTTGGTTTTGCTTAAAATAAATTAATATTATTAAATTAGTAGGAGTAGATAAAAGCTCTTAGTTGCTTTAAAAAGGGCCATTATGAAATCCACATACCTGGAGTGCTACATTTGTGCAAAATTAAACGCAAGAACCTTTTCAAGTCTTTACCTCTCCTGGCCTTGCTGAAACTAATTGTTTTTTAGCCTTATATCAGAATACAGGGTATGGTATGATGTGATGCAATAATTGTTACATTATATTACTACTTTGCATCATAATAGTGCATTGATCTTAAGATATAACATACTGCATTATATCATACTGTCTCTAATATTTACATTATCATAGCATTGCATTGTAGTATTATATATATTTCAACCTGAACATGGCATGTTTGAGTGTTTAACACAGTCAGCCTAAATGTGGATTGCCAAAAGCACAAAGTAAAGATGTCTTTACCACTTACTGGACGTTTAGGCTGAGACTGCAGCAGCTGGGAACCTCTCCCTTGAAGCACCTTTGCTGTGTCCCAGGTGTTCCTCCTGCTGCAGTTAGGTGGCTCCTTGGGCTGCCTTTGTGATGGCTCCCAACCATGGAGCACTGACCGAATCATTCCGAGTCTCTCCTGCTGCTGTGGGAGTGGTGGTACTGTCAGAAACTCTTGTTTCAATGCACTCTGTCTTCCAGGCTCCAAGAATCCACACCTCATCACAAACTGGGGCCCGGCAGCCTTCACTGAAGCTGAACTGGAGCAAAGAGAAAAGAGCTGGAAAGGGAAAAAAGCCTCTTCTGAGTAATGAAAATAGCTGACATACTACTTGTGAACAGAAGTCCACCTTTGTTCACTCTGCTTTGCTCAGAACAGCTTATTGCTCTTTTGAAGATGCTAGTTTACTCAGCAGGAGGGCCTTTCTACAAAGGAAAAACTGTTTACCACGCAGAAATGTCTACTAAGAGCTCAGTAATGACACCACTATGTGCTGTCTGGCAGTACTTGCTGTTTTCCTTCACCTTAACAGATATTCTGTTTCTTTATGCAAGACTTTTCTACTGAAGATTTTTTATTTAAGTGTAGGCTGTAGGATGGTTTCTATATTAGCCTGTAACAAACAGGCAGCATCTAATCAGGCACCGTCACTCATTTCAAACAGCAAGGGAAGCAATTGCTGTACTGGTTCAGTTAGTATAACGTAAACATGGGATAAGTCAATCCTGTGGACTCTGTCCAGAGCATTACCTTCCCTTCCTTTTAGTCTCTTTCTGCTTTTTCCTCTGTTTGTTCCTCTGTTCTGCCTGTTGCTCTTCTCGTGCCTGGCTTCATCCCTGGGTGCCCGCTCTCTCTGGTTCCTGGCTCCTCTGATCTGTGTGTCCTCTGCAGGAATGCACATAAAAGCACTGGAAACAGGCACGTACAGAATGCTGCTGTAGAACATTTAGGAAGAGCAGTCATGCAGGATCGATCTTGTCTGAGACTGGGTTAAAAAAGAATTTAACTTGGAAAACCATGTTCATGGTTTAAAAGATGCTCAGTTTTGGCTTACAGATTTTTCTGGAGCGCATGAATGGAACATGATGACACACAGATGAAATATCTGCATCGAACCTACGTTTATATGCAAAACATTTGTTAATGCAATGAACAGTGCTATAGTTGTAGCGCTCCGTTTTGTGTTATTTTCTATTAGAGGCCAGATTAGAAAAATGGAAGATGAAAACTGAATTTGACATTTGATAGAAGAATGATGAGTCAGTAGCAGTACTGCGACAGAAAAAAATAATTCCTGCCACTCCATTTCAGCAGTACTGGTAATGAAGATTTTCCATTGAGTCTTAAACTTCTCTGCAGAGAACAAGAGAGGGATTTCTGTTTCTGCAGGGAAGGAACAAGTGTGTGATGTTGCCCAGTCAGTCACCCACACCAGACTGAGGTCTAACTGAAGTCACAGTTCTTGCTAAGTTCTGCAGGCATTCTGAGAAGTCAGCCCTGCCTTGTGGAGAGCAGGTGCCCACTGGTGGGGTTTGTTAAGCAGCTTTGCCTTTTTGCACATAGACCAAACACAGCGGTTTTTCATTCAGCTCAATGTTAAATTACCTTTAGTAAATAAGAAGTGAACATTTCAGATGGATAACCAGTGCCTTTGGACACAGCACTATGCTGCTCAGCTCTCAGAAGAGCAGAAGCTGTACAGACAGATCTTCACATTCAGAACTCAATAGCATTTTCATTGCCTGTTAACAAGGACTCACTCAAACACTGAAATCTTCGCAGGCATTTACTCTGATTATATTTTTGTACTAATTGAAATCTTTTTAATGTCTTGGTAAATGGAATGCTGATGAAAATGGAAGGAAAATCCAGGATTGTCTTACTTGTATTTACTGTACAGAAACGCAATAGTTTCTTAAGCTTGCTAACAAGGCAGTTTTATATTGATCTTGTTTACAGAAAAAATGTGAAAAAAAAACTGTAATGGAAATACTAATGTATACATTGTTAAACTTTGCTAGATGAAAAGGAACAGTATTTATAACTGCCCAGCACTTCTCATGGAGAGCAGAAGGTATACGTAGCTTTCTGGGGCCAAACTTGTTAATTTTTCTAACAGTCTTTATTTTGGACAAATGTTGTGTTTGTTTTTTTTTTTAAGAACACCAAATGATGCCTGTTTTTTACTGTTCTTTAGAATTGGCTATTTAATAAAGTAATAAACATCAGTTACGTTGCAGAATGCAGAGCTGACTTTTTGTATGGGTTTCTTTGGGGTTGTGGGATTTCAGAAGATGCTGAAGGTCAGTAAGTGCACTGTTGAGGTATTTACTCGCAGTTCATTTCCTATCTGGCTCTTAATAATAAGAAATAATAATTAAGAAATACTCTTAACGGTGTGGTCAGTGGGAGTTGGATTGAAGGTAACTGATGTGGTTTCTGAAACACAAAGTGTGCCAGATGTGAAATGAATTGATACAGACTTGCTTCTGATGTACCACTGCATTACCACTGGCCCAGGGATGACCTACTGTTCTCATGGAGCTGCAGAGTTCGTGTGCATACACTGCAGCCAAAACAGCCCTTGATCAGCATGTCACCACCTTCTTCTTAGCCACAGTTACAAGAGGAGATGAACCGAAGCTCATCCTCAATGAGATGTGACACTGTTCAAGTCAGTTCCATCTGTGTACAGAATCACAGAAGGTTGGAGAAGACCTTCAAGATCCTCCAGTCCAACCATCCACTCATCACCAGTAGTTCTCACTAAACCATGACCCTCAACACAAAATCCAACCATCCCTTGAACACCTCCAGAGTCGGTGGCTCCACCAGCTCCCTGGGCACCCATCCCAGTGCCTGACCACTCTCTCAGAAAAGCAGTACACATCAGACATACCTGTGCTGGCCCAGTAGGAAGCTGCTTCTGTTGCTTGTGGTGCCTCTGAAGGGTGCGCAGGAGGGCTTCATCCTCTCTCTGCCCAGTTCAGGTTTTCCTTCTGCTGCTGAGAGAACAAACCTGCAAACCAATAGCACAGTACCATTCTTTGTTTCACCTAAGACACAATTTTTGCCCTGTAACCACTTTACGGAGCTGATTTATGAGACTTTAACAGCCTTATGCATTCATTCTCAGCTGTAACAGGCAGATTTCCAGCAACTTGGGTTACTTGAGTCGAACTTTCCAGACACAAAAGCAAAGCCTACCTGAGGAAGCAATGCAATCTCTGCATGCAGGGGAGCTGTGGAGGTGGGGAGATATAAAAAGAAAGCAAAACCAAAAAGGCATGCAAGTATTCAGTCTTGTGGTTTCTTCTGGAAGTCACCGCAGCATCTATTTCAGTAAAAGTGAACTGGAAATGTCTGAATTTTATCTTGATTAAACAAAGCATTTTAAGTCAACATTTCTGAGCACTGGTGCGTGACCAGGATAAGAGGCACACACAGAGTGTTTCAGCCTCTTGGGACAAAGCAGTGATCTATTGCTTGTAATGTAAAGGAAAGTATGCTAAGAAGTTATCTGATAGAATGAAGGAACTCTTGCAGCACTAAGACGTTAGTTCCCCCACTCACCCATCAGTTAGGGACTTTCCAACGCTGCCTGCACTATGCCAATTACTCACATTTTTTTTTTTTTATCTTCCCAATTCAAGGACCACAAAGTTCCCCTCTCTGGCAGCCCTCTGCAGGGACCTTGGGCCCATCTCATATTTGAACTTCAGCTGCCATCTGGTGGTGGTTTGGACCTTAAGCAGCTCAGTTTCTCCAGGGAACCATGATTAACGGGGCGGTGTTACTCACGCTGAGCCTCAAGACAATGAAAAGCACCCTTCATTTCCCTTCAGCAACTCCATAGACATGTGCAAGAAAACAGAACATGTATGAAGGGTGAGCAAACACTACACAACCTGTATTACAATCACTTTGCTGCCATCATCGCTGCAGGCTACTGTCCTCGACTTCATGAGCCACTTTGGTTCTTCAGTCATCTCAGCTCAATATACAGTCTCAAGGCAACCACAAGCCTAGGAAAAAAGATTGTACAATAAGAGTGTTGCCATTAGCTTAGGATAAATTGAGCTTTTCTAAAGAGATAAGGCCTGGATCAAGGAGAAATATGTAAGGAAGGTTACCTGCCTGTAAATAAGGCTTTACCAGTTGCCTTGTATACATGCCTCATTTGTCCTTCACCCTCACCCTGATCTCTCATCCCACTGAGCAGTGTTTGTTTGTTGACATGCAGGATAAAAACGCCCCAAGGCCACAAGAGTGGGCTTGAGGAAGGATGTGCAACAGTCCAGCTTACACCTATTGTCTCTTCCAGAGCAGGACACAGATTCGTCTGCTTAAATCTCAAGTGAAAAAGACCACAAACCCACCTGCTGTTTGCAAGGCTGGGAGCTCCCCTCCTGGCACAGCGAGCAGACACCACACAGATAGCATATCTGAAGGGCTCCTTCTACTGAGAATTTGACCACAACATGCTTCAGGAGTTACAAAAAACAAAAACAAGGAAAACCAAACCACACCAACATCCCCATCCCTCCCCCAGAAGCCAAAGAGAAGGTTTACAACACTGGATTTAGATATTCTCCTGACTTTTATGACTTTTATGAACATACTCAGCAATGGCAGAGAACCAAAAATGCAGAAGAGCAATGTGGATGTCAAAAGTAGGCACACTTTGAAAGAATGGCAATGCCAATGGTTAACACTTGAGAAGACCTTGAACACAGCAGCAGTTTCTCACCTCCAAGAGATACTAAACTTGGAACTATATGATATAAAACAAAAGATAAAAACATCCTGAAAAATGAAAGGGGAATGCAATGATACCTACAAGCACAATCCTGGAAAGACCCCTTGAGGAGAGACCCTCTCTCCCTTGCTTTCTCATATTCAGCCAGTGCAGGCAATGTAAAAGGATATGAGCAGGTACTCTGAGAGAAAGCCCACAACTGACTGGACACAGCATCAACAAAAAGACATAAAAACAAACAAGCAAAACCAAATCAGAACAATTTTATTTGCTTTTTCCTTCTGGCCATTATTTTAAATTCATCGACAAAGAAACCGAACAAATAACTCCCCTTTCCACTCCATTGAGCATTCTCAGTTCTCACAGAGCTCTTGTGCCTGTCAGTGGAACCTTCTCTAACACCAGCTTTGTACACTTCGGAAATTAACAGGTCTGCTTCCTGCAGTTACAGCACACCACAGCCTTTTACAGGATCCAGGCCTCCCTACCTCGTGCAAGGGCCTGCCTGCTGTTATTTCTGCTGCCTGTTCTCCACACACACAAGTGACTTGCTTGTGCATCACCAATGTGTCACAGGGGGCCTATGGGGGTGCTTGCAAGCATGAGTGCAATTTGCAGAGGCTTGTGTCGGCTACTTCTACCTGCACAAGGAATCTGCAGCCTTTCATTTAACATGAGCAGCAAGTCCAATTTGAACACATGCGACGGGATTAAAAGCAAGCAGAGCTGAAGCCCAGGGGATTGCTGCCAGCCCAGGGCACAGCTTAGGCAGATGTGTGGCTGACAACCACCATCCCAAGGCCCACAGCCCAACTCCTGTGCTGCTGGTGGTCCAGTCTCACCCAATGTCATCAGGTAACCTGCTGGGAGCCACTGCCCCCTCTGCTGATTTGTGCAGTTCTCCCCATCCCAGTGTGACTCAGCAAAAGCCTCTCCACATTTCCTCTGTCTCTATCACTGGCCAGGCTGCTCCCTGGTATTTGCAACCTCTGCAGAGACCCACGCTGTGCAGCACGAGTCCAAAGACAACTCTGTCTCCATTTTCCCTCCTCACCCAACTCAGAGCAGTCACTCCCACTGTTGCCCCTACTCCCAACTACAATCCAGCTCAGTGCACACCAGTCAGCAGGCACTGCTGCTGGCACATGTGAGGAGCTCTGCTGCTGCATACCAGCGCAGTGATTTCAGCAGAGCTGCAGGGCGAGCGCTGGGCACAGGGCAGTGCACACTGAGCAGACGCTGTTCCCACGCTGGTGGTGCAGCACAGCTCCTCTGTACTCTTCAAGCTTTCTGTCCTTCCCTCACTTTTATCTCACCCCTCCTGATCAGCCCCAGCTCCCTACGTGCCGATGCAGGGTGAGAAGACTGACGCAGATTTTCCAAAGCCCCCGGCTAGCTGTGGGACCCGCACACAAGGCTCCGCCAGCTCCTGCCCCAGCAGGCCGGCCAGGCAGCTGCAGCCGCTCCCCCAGAGATGGGGAAAACAATAAGAAATACCAAATCTGCCGCAGGAATGCGGGAGATACCGTGGCGGGGGGCCCTGGTGAGTCTGGGCAGGATTTGCTCACGGCTTGGCCGTCGCCCAGAGGTTGCCACTCGAGCAGCCCTGTGGGCAGGCTGGGCTGGCAAGGGGATGCTTTGGGGGGCCCTGCCCTACTGCGGCCCCCGTTGGGCACTCGACGCCAGATGGCAGCCGGACACCACCACACAGGCATGCTGAAAACAGCTCCGGGAGCAAAGCGGCTCCTCTCGCGCTCCTAATTAATCACATCTGCAGATCCTGTTTTGAGAGGCAGATTCGCACAGATGCGGTGTTACACGAGTTATTTACAGCTGAGCTGGTAGCTTACTTTGAGCTGCGTCACTTGTGTACGTGCAGCTGAACACTGCTAGGGCACGAGGAAGAACCAGTCTTCCATCGCGAGGAAAGCACGCGGAACAGTGAACCAAAAGCTCTGCTCAGGGTTCATGTGACTTACCTTAGCTCACCACACAATGGCAACACAAGCAAGAACCAGCAGGGCTGACCAACAAGGCTCTGCCAGCCATCTGCCCCGTGGGCTCCCGGCAGCGCCCAGCCTCACCCCTGTGCACAGCCACTGCCCTGAGTTACTCCGGTGACTGTCAGCAGGTCTGTGCTCTTCCCCTGCAAAGGCCCAGTGATTACTTTGAGAGTCAGACAGTTGCTCTGTTGGGTAACATTTTCCCTCAACGACTTACGAACTTTAATCTAATTTTGAAATGTAGAGGAAGCTAAGTTGGATTACACTGGTTTAACTGCTCACGTCTCTCGAGCAGGGAGACTGGAGGCTTTTTTTCTGCTGAAACCTTCTGTTGGCCCCAAATCCTTGTTTTTTCTTAGTTCAGACACAAAAGAGGGGGAGGTTCAGCTTCCAAAAATAAATCAAAGACACCACGATGCCTGCAGGGTATTTGTTTCTCCGTAGGAACGCAGACCTGGTGGTTTAGTTTAAGAGAGACCAGGCTAACACTCGCATTTTCTACATTCCTTGTTTTCCTGATATATCAAGATCGACAGGTTTGAACTGTTGTTTTAATGAAAACCTACTACTCTTGAGAGGGTTTCCTGTTTTAGAAAGATGATCTCTCAGAGCTACAAAATTCCAAGCCATCTGACTTGCTATCACCTTTGTCAGGTCCTTTAACCTCCTTATGCCTCAGCTGATGAAATGTGATGGATATTTATCTATTGAAGCCTGCAAGTTTTAATAGGAAATAGTTTATCTATTCTAGTGCCTGCAAAACACTGCTGCTCCTGCAAAGAGATGCAGCAACGTCACGGTAAGCTGAAATTGTGCCTACAAGGTGCAAATTGCAGATGGCTGTGTGAACACTTGAGGGAAGGCTATTCAGATCAGAGCAACTCCGCATGAGCAGAGCCTCCTGGCACCCCATCTGCCATCCACTGGGAAACTTTCAGCCCCTCTGCCTTCATGCCTAATTCTTGATGGTCTGAAAACCACCTGTGAGCTCTTGGATTACAACCACAAATTGAAGCAGCCTTTAGATTTCTAATGACCTAAAGGAGCTATAATCACCACGTAGCTAGCCCTAAAGTGTCAGAAAAAACATGGCAACAGTCATAAAGTCATTCTGCATTTGAGCCAAGCCCTCTTCCATCATCCCTAAATCAGGCTGCTGACTCAATCCCAGGTAAGCTCTCCCCTCCCTTGGGCACTTGGAGTTCAGGAACTGGTAAACCCAAACAGGACTGACCTTGACTCTCTGGACAGTTTTCAGAGCTTAAGCTTTACAAACCAGAGCAACAAGTTTTGCAGCAAATACCTTGCTGAAGGCTGAAGTACTCGTGCTCAAATTGCAAGTGCAACAGACGTCCCTGAATACGTTTTCAGTCTTGGGAACTGACCATCAACTCCCACTTCAGTAAATTCTGCAGTCCACGATGTCTTTTTTTCATTGTTTTTTTCCTGTCTGCTCAAAGCAATTCAGGATTTTCCAACTGTTCTAACAATTTAGAAGCTCTACTATGTAAAAACACTTTCTTGTATTACAAAAGTTCATCTGAATTGTAAATTGCATTACAAAGGGGACGGAGTTAGTCTCCTCATGCACTGCTTGGGCTGATCTGTTGGCAGAAAATGACCACTGGCAGCTTTGCAAGGCATGGAAAAAGACTTATCGCCCAGATACTGGAAACACAGTCAAACTGCCTTAGCTGGGCAAACAGGCACTGATTTCTCAGCCTAGTCTCTAGAGGTGCAGGTCTGCTGACGTCAAGGCTGTCATTATTGCAGGGCTCGCAGCCCTTGAAATGCTTTATTTGTGAGCTGTGGTCCAGCCTGCAGCATAGAATAGCTCCTCTCTAGTGCTTCTGATAGGGACAGCTGGGACACAAGAACATCGCGTGCCCTTCACGCGTTCCCACTCACCTGCTCCAGCTGTGCAGCTGAATGTTTTAGGGAATCTCTGCAATACGCTCTTCGAGAAGCCAGTTCCTCTCCTGTTTGACTCGGAAATCTTCTTGGAATATTGCTGCTTCCTGTCTGAACTCCTCTTCTAAAGCCAGGCTTTCTTCCTCCCATGCCAAACTAGTCTGTAAAAAAAAAAAAAAAACAACAAAAAGACAGCAAAGTTCAGGAAAGCACTCGTTTGTTTGGTGTGAAAAAGCTCATAGGTGCAAGAGGATGGAACGCACAGTGCTCAGGATTACGTGATCATTAACAAAACAGGAAAGCCACCAATGGTTTTCAAAGCTAGTCTCTCTCCCATCATTTCTATCTGGCTATTGTATCCTGGGAGCCCGGAAGATTCCTGTTATGAGGGAATGTTTCCAGATAATTTTCCTCCCACCCCATTGCATACATTAACATAATCTTTTCTCTCCTATGTCTTTGGAAAACAAAGCATTGCTCTTATCCCTTTATAGTTCAGGTACATTAAGTACTTTATAAGCTGTTTGCCAAGAAGTGCTCAAGGGCAGGAGTAATTGTGTTTGTTGGTGGTTTCTTTTCTTTTTGTGGGCAGGGAGGGGAAAGAAACAGACACAACAACTTGCTGGAAGCCTTGGAGCAGAGCCAGCAGCTCTGCTGACCATCCCTGCAATGGTGCATGCTGGTGGTAGGACAGCACCTCACTGCCCCACAGAGTTGCTTCCCTTTCTGGTGCAGTAGCACCAAGCTGCATGCAGTCTCATTTTCTGTTTCCCCGAGCTGCACAATGCAGACAACCCCCAAAGGTCCCGAAGTTGCAGGATAGAAAAATTCATCCTTCCTCCTGGCCCGGATCCTGAACAGACATATGCACATGCTTAGTGCTGAGCACGTGAGTAGCAATGCTGATCTCCATGGAGCAATCCACATGCTTGATGTGGGAGCAAGGGGGAGCAGGACACTGGGTTCTTCGGCTGCCTGCTTTTCATACTACGGGCAGAGATCCCACCCAGGAGAGAGCTGTGCAGCAGCATGGTGCCGAGCGATCTAGCTGCTTCTATTTCCATCACCTGTGGCCTTGCTGAAACCCGCTATGAGTTATCTGGGACATGACGCCCCAGATGGGTCGAAACAACAGGTCTTGCTGCAGACTGTCTGCATTCAGTGGGATGATTTAGTTACTGCTTCCCTCCCACCCCGTCTTCTTCCTTATTCCCATTAGTGACATGTTGGCTGGAGAGAAAAGTTATTCATGCTCTAGAAATGTAATATTTACTCAAAACAATTTTTATTTGGCTTGGCTTCTTCCCAGTGCCATAAAGTGATAGCCAACCCCAAATGCTTACATAGACAACATGTGCATCTGAGTCATATTTATTATCCTAGTTATAAAAAGCACACAATCTTGTTGTTTGGTGCAATGGGATGGGACTGAAGGCATCAGCACGTCGTGAGCATAGCCTGTCTCTGGAATCTGCAGAAATTTGCCATGCTCCAAATTTAGAACTTGTGGGTGGAAGCTCAGGCAGGAGCCAACTTTTTATACCATTACATCACAGGAATTGAGGGCTTTGTGCCAAAGGATCCAAGGAAATTAATAAAGAGCAGAGTCTGTCCAGCTGTTTGAATTTAGAGTCACGGCAGAGAGGTAATTATTAATAAAAGCGGCTTCATTTGGAGCACGGTAATCTCAGTGTTTAAATTGAACATATCCCCTCCTTACTGCAGCTTACTATTCTACTGAAACTTGCGAAGATCATAGTTAGGAATTAACATCTGTAAGAGATAGGCCTGGCGAGACTGAGATCATTCTAGATACAGGACACGCTTCAGCGACAGCTTTCCAGCTAAGTAAGGCTCAGTGAGAGTATGCATTTGCCAGTGGCATCACTGCTCTCCTGGCTGCAGGAGGTGGCTGGAACGTGGCACGCATTTTTCCAGTTCAAACACACGTCTCAAATGGACAGTGATCAAAGCGGTATCCAGCTAATTTGAAGAGCAACTCAATTTGTTTGACCTCTGTGTGCTGGGGCAGCCAGCATAAGCTCAACTGTTGCAGCCTCCTAGGAGCTGCTGGTAAAGCAGCAGGGCCTGTTCCCAAGGGAAGAATGAGTTGACCTCCAGCCCAGCTGGGAGATGCTGTGTATGCCTGCAGCCCCACAGCGGGCAGAGCGCAGCTGTGGGTCAGGTCGGGGCAGCGCCGATGCTGGGAGCGGGCCACCACTTGTGCACACAGAGGCTGCACGTACTGACTACAGAGCATGGGTCTGCTAAATGCTGCTTTCTGCACCTCAAAAGCCCAGCACACATAACAGGCATCTTTCCAGCTCCTCGGGTAGCCAGCAGCACGCACCTTACAGAAAGTAAAACCTGAATCTTCACGTGGAACGGCACGGGGTCGACGTGCTGCAACTCTGCATGCCAATGGCTGAACTCAGCAGTGCCACCAAACATAACCAGGAGAATACAACACTGTCTTCAGAAAAGGGGCTCCTCTGATGTTTAAATCACAGAAATTATGGTATGCAGCTTCAAAGCTCATCTTTTGCTCCAGGGCGCACAGAGCTATGAGTAATTGAACATTTAGCTCTGGGTAACCTGGGAATCTCCCTGTTTCTGTGCTACAGATAAATCAAGGCAGGAAGCAACTACGCATTTCTTCACAAGAGTGTGAGAAACAGCAAATCAAACAATAAACACTGGAAGAGATGCTCCTGCCCATACAGATACCACGTGATGCTTGCACACACACTGCCTGCAGCAGCAAGTACCAAACAGCCTTGCAGGCCCGTGCCTCACCAGGAGCCATCACAGCAAAGACCTCTGCAGCTCCCAACACCCGCTGCACGTACAGCAGATTAAAAGAAAAAATAAGATCACTTTAGCCAGGTGGCCACGGGGTGACAGTTGCCATGATGAGAAGACAGTGTGCCACTGGGGAAAGGTAAAGTAAAAATAGAAGAAATCAGCTCATTCTCCATTTTTTTGATGGCAGTGCTTTCACCTGCAACACAGGCATGTCTGTGCAGGGAGTGTTATGAGACTTGAGGCTGCTCTGGATTTAACATGCTCTGTTACTAGATAAACTTCCTGTATTTTACCTAGAAAATAACAACACCAGCCATGTGTTCTTGCCAGGGAAAGCACTGAGACATCCTGGATCTGTTCAAGATTTAAAGATATAAATCTTTTTCTCAGTATGTAGCTAAATAATGCTCACCAGATATTTCCTATGGTACGATCAGTAGAACTCCAATGCTTTCAAACATTACATAAAAGAGGAAAAGCTACTTACCTCCTACTTGGGTGTCCCAACGTATGTTTATTCTGAGGAGTGAAGTTGCCATTTCATCTGCAGTCTCATGCTGCCACTTCACAGCTTTCCAGTGAATGCTCTATCTTGTACCACCTGCCACTGCCCCTCTGACGTCTGGACAGAAAGTGGAAGAAAAAAAGTCAGGTAAATGAGAAGCCTTAGTATACTGTCAAGCACCCCAAGAGCTGGAGAATACCTGCCTGTCAGAGCCAGACAACAGATATTGATTGTTCTCAGCTATTTCTTTCAGATACCTTGGGACAAGGACCTCACTTCCAGGAGCACTGCATTAAACAAAGCTGTAATGAGCAAGTGATTCTATGGAAAGAGATGAAACGCTTCAGCAGAACTGACTGCAGCTATAACCAGTGCCTGGTCCATGGCTAATCTACAGTTCTCTTTCCACTGAAGTCAGCAGAAATACCTCCCATCACATCTAGAGTCCTTAGAAACGCAGCAAGCATTTAAAAATCTGGAGACATTGCCCATTCTTACAACTGGGCAAGAGTCAGATTTCCAAAACACTGTTTATGCTGCACAGAAACTTCCTTCCCAGAATTTCCTTTGTTTCCAGCAGACAACTACTAGTAGTATTTCACTACTAGTTCTAGATGCAGCCAGCCATCATCCTATTTAAAAGTCATTCTCTTGGCCACAATCTTCCAACAAAAACAAGAAATGTATTTGATTAGATAACTTAGCTTCTGCAATCATGAAGATAAGATCAGAAAGACAACAACTAGAATAAGGACCTGTTTCCTTTCCTGGTATTTTTTGTAGCATGTCAACCCAGCTCAAACTAGTAACACAGAAATTAATGCAAACTCACAAAATGTGGAGAATAGTTTCATGACAGAATGGATTTGTGACTTGTTTTGACTTTCCAGGGGATTCTTAAAAGTCTAAAGCCCAGAAATTAAGGAACCTTGCTGGTTCCTTGTTTCCAGCAATTTCTTTAGAAGATGAGTTGTTCAGAAAGCATGGAAAGTATTAGAGTTATCGCTTTGATGTCTTTAATAGAAATTTGGGATGGATTTGAAAGAAATGAGCAAAGTACTGTTATTTCCTTTTGGAAAGGCAGTCTGTCATGACTGGTGCCATTACACAACTGAGCAACCCAATGGCAGTGCACATGCTAGCTCAGAAGCAGGCCGAGGAACTCGCCCTCCTAATCAAGTTTATAGTTGGATGCTGATGTTCTTAGAAAACAAACGTTCATGTTTATTATAGCAGAATGAACAGAATGTACTACAGAGAACATGACTCACTTTTCCATAGGACGTCTGTCTATTCTCTGTGTTTGAACAATGAAACATTGCACCTCTCACTTGTGGTTTGTAGCACAAAGATTTAATGAGTTCATCTCAATGAGCTGTAGATCTGCCACAAAAACTGATTGATTTGCCTAGCGAAAACAAGTGTGCCTTTTGACAAGATGCTCCACACTAGGCCCTCCTCAACCAGCCCAAGAGGCTAGACTCTCTCACAGGTGGTTTTAGTCTTGACTGCATTTTGGAAATGAAAATACGCAGTCAGCTTCAGCAAAACACTGGCTATTTTCCCTTGGGTGGTTGGCTGTCCCGCTGCATCCAAAGCACCCATTCTCCTCTGTACAGTTCATTTTTAAACTGGCTTAAAACCATTCCTTTCCGTAACAAAAGCGTTTATTTTAAAGCAGACTTCATGAAAGAGCCATTTGAAAAATGATCACATTTCTATTTCAAAACATTAAAAAAAAAAAAAAGAGCTGTCTATTATCTCACAGGAAATTCTGATTAAAGCTTTCTTGCGAAAAGTAGGTGTCCTTATAAGACCCTCCCAGAAGAAATTCAAATGAAGGGCAGAAGAGGAAAAAGAGATTTTAAGTAAACAAGTGAGAAGAGCCAGGGAAAACAAGAGCAATGAGCACAGTCTCAGGTGGCTGACTTGGCAGAGCAGGGCGTGAAGGAAGGAAGAGGCTGCGAGACAACGAACCACTGGCGTTTACAGTAGTCGAGGATTCTCCCCAGTTTGTGACTTGAACCACAAATTGCTTAACAATACTGTACATTCCCTTTATTTCTCTTCCAGCCCGTCGTGGGGGTAAATCCCCCTTGAGCAGAGTGTGGCTACAGGGGCATGGGTGATGTTTGTTAAGGACGGTGCTGCTGGAGAGAGGAGAACCTGCAGAGGCGGTATTTCACTGCCTCTTCAGGTTTCAGGAGTCACAATCAGAAAAGACAAGTCAGGCCCTTAGCTGGTGAGCAACAAGTTAAGGACTGAGGGATTGCTCTGTGGCATAGACAGTCACATCCAACAAGAAAAAAAAATCTTGAAGGCCTCCATGGACTTCAGTGCCAGAAGAGAGTGACGAAACGGGAGAAATGGTGAATGTGTCACTTTCCAGTGATGGATTCAGGAGAGAAGAGGATCCATCAGCAAAGAGATGGATGTAAGCTGGCAGGACAGAGATCTACTTGTTATGTGGCTTTTTACTAAGCACCATTAGTTACTGCTAAAAACACATTTGAGTCACACTTGCAGAGGAGATCAACCTTGGCAAAGACTCTACAAGTTAGAAAAAAACACTTCAAGTGAAGAAATTAAATATTCCCCAAGTTAAAGATTGCTTAGTTATAGCTCATCCCTATGGGAATTTTCAGCGAGGCTCTGAACATGCATGGTTTCAGAGTTACTTAATTACCCTCTAGCAGCATGAAATGGTAGCTGCAACAACTGAGAAACATAATGACAGAAAAACAAAACCTAAAATAGTGGTCATTAACATCAGGAAGGGTTTTTTTGAGGGGGAAGGTGTTATCCTGTGGTTTTCTGTGTTGTCATGAAAAGTGCAGAATGGATGAACAATGCTGTGCATGGCATCACTTTCCCAATGGTCAACTGTACAATGGTTTCTCCAAACTGCTGTATTTCACCATTGGTGCAGTTCATTAAAAAAAATAATCCTTATACAGCTGGGAATTATAAAGATCTGCAAAAGCCTGTGATGCCAAGGACCTTCATTGGAGGCACACCTACGTTTTGAGTGCTTTGGAAGCTATCCTCTTCCAAAATACTTTCTATAGATGCTAAAGTGAGGACAAACCTGGCTGCAGTCCATTCCCTATGAAGGATTATATCTTAAAGGGACACACTCTCTCTTAAAATTTCTAGTTCTTCACATGTTTCTTGTTTAAAAAAGACAAAACACAACAACAACAACTACAAAAAAAAACCACCAGAACAATCCACAATAACAACAACAACAAAAAAACACCAAAAAAACCCCACAACCCTCGTGCCTGTGTCAGTGTCTTAGCAGTATAAATTTAAACATTCCATTGTAAGCTAAGATTATCTTGCTTCTTGCCCACTGAGACATGTGGGTTTGGCTTTATAAGACTCCATAACTGGCCTGCTTGAACCCTGTCCAGTAAGTTTTCATCTAAATTGATTAGGACTTGGAACATATTTTCTTGGACAAATTGTGTACTAATGAATAGAACACTCCCTCACAGCTGTCCTGCCAGAAAGCCAAGATTTTTTCTGTCTAGAAATCATCCCAAAGTGACCCTTAGATAAAGTTCAGAATCCATTTTCATTTTTTAATTAAGAAAAGATTTGCTTAATTCCATTCCATACATTTCAGTGCTAGGCAGCTGACACACGATTCCTCCTAAATATGTTATGTTAAAGAATTTGGTTGTGATGTCAGATCTGCCACAGACAATGCATTTCTAAGCACATTGTTTGTATTAACTGCAGAGCACGAAGATAGCTCCAGCAGAGGTAGAAGTCTCTATGGATGGCACATGGAACAAACTCAAGATTGGCTCTATTCTCTGCACAGTAGTATTTATATATATTACCAATATTACCAAACCCTCACACAGGCACAAGGGATTTCCACAGTGCCCTTCCCTGAGGACACAGCTTCCCTGTAGGCCTTCTCCCACTCAGTAACAAACTGCATAAACTTGCCCTCAATTCCAAAGGTAGTGTGGCTGGGAAATTCTTACATTAATTAACAGCGGCCAAAAGAAGAAGCCATTTCCCCTCCATAAGGGACTCTGGACACTTTTCTAATTCCAAGGCATGAGCTTTCCCCAGTCAGGATGAACACAGCCTTTCCTTTTAGCATTCTGCTCCACAGTTCTTCTCCCAGATGCCCCAGCTTGAAACCTCATTAAGCAATCAATTGCTTTATGATCAGGCCATCTGGATTTTTTCTTCTATGACCATTTACATGGTGCACAAGGAGGACTTAACTCCATTTAGAATACCCATTGGACATCCACAATTACATTGTTTTGCTTATCTTTTAACAAGAGTATTTCTAGGAACCAGAAGTACACTTTGAGGCAAACTGAGATCCTTTCTAGCCTTGCAAAAGACTGACCCATGCACCTATGTGGCAATAACATGCCTTCAAAACGGGTTCAAGATTTTCCTGACACATGCTACTCAGAAAATGAAGGTGTTCATTTACAATAACGCAAAGGAAAAGGTCTTTCAAAGGAACATGACTGCTCAACTCTTTAAACATCACTTACAGTATTAATCAGACAGGAAACTAAGGCAAAGTTATTTCTACTCTAATCTTAAGTGGAATATGACTCCTGCAACTGCTAACCATACTTGCAGAAGAAATAAGCAGATCACGACAAATTGCTTTGCTATAAAAGTATTGTGGTATTGCTTGTGGAAAACAGGTCATAAGACAACAAGAAGAATAGGAAGTTCCCTACGCTTTCAAAAGACAGACTCTGCATGCTTGTGCTTGCAAGATACACGGTCTGTGGAAAGCTGCCAGCAATCCCATAAAGAAAAATGATAGGTGCTGCAACGATTCTCCAATGCCTTCACGTAAGGCTGGTCCAACCAAATCAGAAAATTACTTGATGTGGATGATTAGATAAAAAGGGTCTCACCTAAGCTTATGCTATTCTCACAGCCAGTTTTAGACAGAAAAAAAAAAAAATAATCACACACCTCATATACTGCCTTTGCCATCTTTGCTTGTGGACTAAAACTGACAGCATTGCTTTGAGCTTGTGTTTCTTTTCTGTGTGCTCTCAAACTGGCTCAGTGGAACCTAAATATAACGACAGAATGAACAGAAACAGGAATGCTGACACTGTTGTACTGTATTCTGCAGCCTGCTATTGTTGGAAAATGTGGTCATAATGGGCAGATTATACAAGGTTAAATCCTTCTGAAAGCATACAAAGAAACTGTGATACAATCATCTCAAAGTAGTTATCTTTATACATAACCATGGACTAAGCACCCAGCAGAGTGCAGCAAGCAAAGTTATGGGCCCAAGGCAAAACAGTGACCAACTGCCAAGAAACATCCTCATTAGTCTTTGTTAGAATTTGTATTTTTAAAGTCATTGTGCAGTTCAATTAAGTTTGTAACACGCAGATGAGAAAGTGGAAAAAAATGCGAAGACATAGGGAGACGAAATGTTACAGCACTGGAAGATGTCACCTCCTCTGTGAAATGCTTACACTGTGAAAATAAAAAGAGAAGAAAGAACGAGTCATTTCAGGATATGTCTAGAATGAGAGATAAGACCAGAAGATTACAATCTTCTGGTAGTCTTCCACAAAATCTCTTTCTTTGCTTTCTACATGATGCAGTCCGACTGAACGCAAAATCAAAAGGGAGCTAAATGGAGAACAGACAAGAAGATGAACAGCAGCCAGAGAAACGCTGGGATTTTAGGACACTATGGCACTATGGCACACCCTAAAACTTGGTTCATATGTTCCCAGAAAACACTCGCAAAGTTCATAGCATTGATCAAGCCTAACTCATCACAGAATGATCAGATCAGGCACATCAGTGGGATAAGCACGCAGAAGACAGAAAGGGAGAGCAGAAGTGAAGTCAACCCATGTGACCACCCGTGTGCTACCAAGTCAGTCACAGGCCTTACGCATTTCTGCACTCTCAGCTTCCCCCTGTTTATGTGCTTTGCAGTGCTGAATGTGAGAGTCATTTTGTGAAGCTATATAAAGCTTTTAAGGAGAGACAGCCAAAAATGTTTAGAGGGAGACAGGCAACCTATTTCTTGAGCTGAAGAAGAGATTTCAGGCCAGATCCCAGATATCACATCCAGGTTAAGTTCCTCTTGCACCGTTCCAGAAGAAAAGAAGACTTCAAGCTGTCTTTGGTAGCAGCTGGAAATTTCCTTTTCCTGGGGAGACCTGCATGTGGCATCAGACAAGACAAAGCTAGACTCATGCTGCCTGCTCTCTGTCAACAGTGGGTGCTCCCTGGCTGTCAAGCCACAAGGACAACTGGCATCCAGACCCCTGGGGAAAAGCCAGGCTGGCTGGAATTGCACAAATCACATGAGCATTTCCTGCCCTAACTTTACGTAAAGGTCACAACACAGAGACAGCTCTTGCCTCCTTGTTTCCAGCTGCTTTAGTGGACTTCAAAACCAGAGAAAGAGGTGATCTACTGCAAGGGAGTGCCAGAATTTTTGCCCCTCATCCAGTAACCAGAGGACTCTGCCCTAGCTTGTGCTTTATTGCACACGTGGCTGCCCTCATCCTGCTGCATGACTCAAAGGCTGGCATGCAGAAGTCCCCCTTGTGTGCAAGCAGACAGGTAAAAGACAAGTCTCTGACAGCAAGACTAGACATTTCATCACCTTTAACTTTAAAATACTCAGCAATTAACCTGCACCCATTTCATGGAAGTCATGTGGATTGCTGTCATTTTGGAGCAGCCCTGGCCCAACACTCTATCTATTGCTGAATTTTTGTTGCACTCGAAAGACAGCTTTGTCTAGAGACTTGGTCCCAAAAAAACCCCCCAAAGAACTGAACACCAACTCCAAGTGCAGTTAGCACTTTGCAAAATCTTGCTAGGGACTGCAGATTTGTACCCTCTGTGGTTAAACTGAGGGACAGAAGGGTTACAGGAAAGGCATATTTGAACTCTCTGTAGCCAGTATATAGCTGTAGGGAATGAGCCAAGATGTCAATGCTAAGGAAGCAAAACAGAGAACCAAGAGAGATGGGGAGTGAAGTAGAAAGCTTAGAGTTATGGATGCGAATTAATGAACCAGCAGTACTGGAAATGGGAACAAGCTGTCAGAACTTCATCTCTTACAAGGGACAAAGAAAAAAAAATCTCAATTTCTGATGCTCTTGATGGAAACAGAGTTATGCAAGACTGATACTGTTCACACTGATTTAATTAAGGCTCTGTCAGCACTGTCAAGCTTAATTCGCCTGGTATTTCACATTTACAAAAGTCAGCTATAAAAACGTGCTCTGCTCTAAAAATCAGCATTCTATAAATGGTCCCAGTCCTAGAAGGGTCATCTTTTTGGCACAAGCAGGCTCTTGAGAGCATCCCACTTATGTGCTAAGATATCTCTATCTAACTGAAACGATTACAAGCCTGTATTGCATTCCTTGCCCTCTCCATGCAGTTTAATGGGAACCTGGGGTGTCCAAAGAATGCAGAGTCAAGCTTCCTGGCAGTATCCCATCAAGGAAATTATTTCACAGAATTAATCCCCAATCCTGACACTTCTTGTCATGTTAGATTCAAATCTCTGTATTTGCTGAGCCATGATAAGTGTGGAAAGGCAAGGACTGGACAATGGACTTGCACCACTTGTGAACAATTTTTGGTCAGTTCTCAATGTGGAGAAACAAACTCATCTGGATGCCAGCAGCAGTCCATGGCACAGATGCCAGAAACACATAGATGAGAGGCTTAGGGACATGGGTTAGTAGGCATGTTAGTGCTGGGTTGATGTTTGAACTAGATGATCTTAAAGGTCTTTTCCAACCTTCATGATTCTGTGATTCTAAACCTCAGCTACTATCATGTACAGTCCTGTCCAGAAATACCACAGCACCTCCAAAATTGACACCTGCAGTTATGGGATGTGCCCTTCATCTAGCCTTAATGGGCAGCAAGTACACACCAGCCAGGAGTCACCAGTAAAATCAGTAAGGTTTCTAGTAGGCTACCTCAGAGAATATTATAGATATGACTCAAATAGAAGCAGTAAAATTAAGACCAATGAGAACAAGCACTCAACGCTCCCAGAAAATCCCGTGTTCTGTAATTGTTATTGCTTCATCAGTGACAGGAAAGAGTCGTGTTTTAAAATAGAAATTCACTTAATTGTATTTCCCTTAAGGCACAGAAAATAAGATTCCATGAAGTGTTATCAACTGTACAACAATAACATGCTCTCCAGACTGAAAATGGTTCAGGAATTTGCATTGTGTTCTCACAAAACATAATTTCTAACCCAGTTTCCTTCACCTTCTTGAGATAACCAGGCAGATTTCAGCTCAGTGATTACTGAGTTAGACTATATGGGTTGGTCAATGTGTAACAGACGCCCAGCTTCCCACATCTCTCCTTAATGGAGGCTGGTGGATCTACTGCAGGCTTTAGGTGCACAAAAGTATCAAAGGAGTTGCTTGCTTCAATACCTTTGTAGATGCAATTGTTCTCTGCAATGAGGTCTGAGGTTTGAGAGTCTGAGTCAGCCCAGGCGAGGTCAGCAATGCACAGGATTCACATCCTTGTCACTCTTGGGTCACGGTGCACACAGCAGTATAATTCTCAGTACGCTAAAAAAAAGGGAAAAAAAGGAATATCAAAAGACATAGGAAAATGATGGCCTATACCTCTTTCTGATTATATAAAATGTGTTAAGAACCATCAGCCATGCACTTACATGTGAAATATTATCTTTCTGAAAGCTTGTCATAAACATGGCTCACGCCGCAGGGATGGCCACGCATTCCAACTTTTTGTAGCAGGAAGAATATTTCCTAGGGAATAAGGTCAAAATATTAGTATTCAATTGAGTCAGTATGGGCCAAATTAATTAAGTTACTACTCCATCATTGACTTCCATACATGAAATCTGAGAAAGCGGTTGTATCAACAGTACATCAATCCACAGCACTGGTCAGAGAAACGAAAAAAATAACCTTCAGTTTCAAAGTTCCATTCAGCCTAGGCACAGAAAGGTTAACTTTTGTTTAAGTAATGCGCCTGAACAGATAATGTTAATTAAACATTTGCATTCAAATCTCATTACGCAGTGCAATAAGTTTGCTTTCTACAGAAACACTGTGAGTCCAGTATCGAACAGAAAGCTGGGGGTGCAGACACTAACGAGTCATTTAAAACTAAAAGCAAAGACAAGGGAATGCTTGCCATCCCCAGACCACGTGTGCATCTGCCTCTAAGTTTCTTCTCATTCACCAAGTATTTGCAAAAGATCCACTTCTGCTGCTCAAGACTTTTTCAAGCCCAAGAATGACATGGTCAAGTGGATACAAATTATGCTTGGTAAAAACAGAAACCTTGCAGCAGCACCGGGTAAGTCAAATGCAAAATTAGCCCTGATGTGAAGCACAGCAGCTAAATCATCCATCCAGATGGGAAATGTTGACAGTCCCTTAACTGTAGCAGTTCTACTTGCAATACAGAGAGGTGTGCAAGTTGGCTTTGTTAAGCAGACTCTATGGAACTATTTATTCTGTCTGCAAGTATAACAGGAAGTTTATTAAACTTGTGTGTTGCTGGACATAGCACCTGGCTGCTGTGTTTCATGCTGGAATGCAGAATTGGACAGTCCAATTCTGTACTGACGTAATGTACTGCCATGCGGAGGATTTCTTTTCGAGCCTAAGACCTCTTTCTCTGACCCTGGGAGCACATTGGATGTTGCGCATCCAACTCCTGACAGGAATGCTTCATTTTGCTCTTGAGCAACCACTTCTGAGCAAGCCAGGAGCAGAATCCAGCTCTTCTTGGCTGGAAGAATTGGGATGTCCCAAAATGGAGCTTTTTAACAGATGAGTGAAAAAGCAGAGAGCCCAAAGGACTGTCCCTCTCCAAAGAAAATCATACGAATCAACATGCAAAAATTCCTTTTCGTAAGTAAGCTAGACTTTCTAAGATGGTAAAACAGCTGTGTGCTTTTGGGCTTAGCTCCTCTCCTGCATACCCCTAGATATCAATTTGACTGTCTCAGCAAGGCCCCACAGGACAGAGCAAGGCTTCCGGGTCTGCCTCTGACAGACACTGAACCAGGTCGATTTTAAAACTTGCCCTAGATTTCTTGTGGGAGATCAGTTCAGCTGGACAACTGCTCCTTGCAGCAGACCTTCCTTCCCTCCCTGTAAGCAGGACACTTATCCTCTGCTGGGCTTGGTGGGGCTGTGGCTTCCTCCCCTGCCAACGCAGTGGGTTACAGCTACCACAGCTGATGGGGACAAGCTGCTGCCACCAACATGCTCTCTCTGGCAGCCTGGGAAGCCACAAATATGACCTGCTTTCTACTCAGGATGACTTAACTGCTTCTGGGATTAGAGGCCCTGGCCCAGGCTGCTATCAGTGGAGTGCAGGATGATGGCTGTGGGCACAGCATTTTAAACATCTGAAGGTCCCACAGGGAAGAAAACAATGGCCATCACCAAGCCTTTTGGACTTCACTTGCTGAAGCACCGAGTCTCTCTGAAAATGCATCCGGGAGAACACACAAGGAGCATGAAGCTAGGATCCCCTACTTACGAATGTAAATTATGGGATAGAACTGTTTTCTCCCCTACGTTACTTGTATACCAGAAATAATTAAAATTTAAAATCAATCCCATACAATTTCTCCTCACTCTGATGAAAGTTTTCTCTTGGCAGCAAATAGTGGTGTTTCAAGACTTCTTGTACCGCCCTTTCAGCTTGCATTTAAAATTTTGTTGAATTTAGCCACTGCAAATCTAGTTCAAGAAATGACTTGTTTTTAGCTGAAATAGAAAACATACAAGGTTATTTACCCAAAGAATCCCTTCCAGATCTACAGCAGGCCAACTGGACTCAAGCTGTTCACACATAGAGTAATCAGATTTTAAATAGTAAACGTTTTCTATTTTGCTTATGCTTTTATTTATTTATTTATTTTTTTAAAGCCAGATGACAAATACAACTTCAGAGCATCTAAGAACAACAAAAAGCCCCTTCCCTGACACTTCGCTCTTCACAGCAGCTTGCACAAGGTGATTTAAAGATTAAGATGAAGGAATATTTCGAAACACCAATAGAGGCACACTCATCCAAAGCACATGAATCTTTTTGGCCTATTCTGACCAGAGAAACTAATTGTTATAAACATCTCCAGCAGCCTAGTTATCTCAGGAAATAGAGAATTATACCTTTAAACTTCTAGCTTAATACAGAAATAGGCAAATCCCAGCAGATGCAGAGGCATACGAATATAACAGCCATCCCCCAACGTTCCCCTCATGACACACTCCTAACTACATTTTAATTATTCAGCCTGCTTTTGCACCTTGTCTGCTTGCTCAGCTTTAGTTATTATCGAACCTCAGCATCACCTCCACAAAGTACCACACGGCATCACAAAACACGCAGTGGCAAGGACCCCAGGATGTCACTGAGCCCAAGCTCCTGCTCAAAGGAGCATTCTCAGCTGCTGCTCTTCTCACCAGGAAGTTTAGGCATAAAAACCACAGCAATATTCAAACTACAATCCTGCCTGAGTTGGTGAGCACACCAGGGACCATTTAAATATTCGGAGCACTCAAGAATTGTCTCCTGCGAAGAATGCAGTGGGGAACAGGGGCCTCCAGCTGCACAGAAGTTACCATTGTTTCTTCAAGCCTCTAAACATTGCGAGTTCTTACAAACTGTAAAAATGACCACATTCCAAGCTTTGAAGGGAAAGAAAAGCTAACTACATACCATAATTAAATTTTCTTTGGACTTATTTATCTGTACCTAGTGTTGAAAACATTTGGTACAAGGCAGAAAGCGTGCTTGCGTATTTAAACCAGCTTCCAGCATTTTCATTCGAAGTAAGTGAACAACAGATAATAACTCAGTGTAACAGTGATTATATCTGTTGTCCAGTCAGTATCACAGGATCCAACGCCAGTTGTTTGATCACTGTAACAGGATCTGGAAAACTACAGGCTTGTCAGGCTGACCTTGGTGCCAGGTATGGTTATGAAGTATATAATCTTGAGGGAGATCACAGGGCACGTGCAGGACAATTGGGGGATCAGGCCAGCCAGCACAGGTTCATGAAAAGCAGGTCTTGCCTGACCGACCTCATCTCATTCTATGACCAGGTGACCCGCATGGTGGATGAGGGAAAGGCAGCTGATGTAGTCAGTCTATCAGGACTTCAGCAAAGCATTCAATTCTCCCACAACACTCCTCTCCCATGTAACTAGCAGTAGGATGAGAGGGAATGGCCTCAAGCTGCACAAGGGGAGATTCAGGATGGTCGTTAGGAAATACTTCTTTGGAGAGAGTGGTGAGGCACAGGCTGCCCAGGGAGGTGGTGGAGTCACCATCCCTGAAGGTGTTCAAGAAACATTTAAACACTGTACCAAGGGACATGGTTTAATGAGTAATATTGGTGATAGGTGGACCATTGGACTGAATGATCTTGGAGGTCTTTTCCAACCTTGGTGATTCTATGTATCTTTTTGCATGATACTTGTTTGTCTGTTTCCTTTCTGGAGAATTAACATTCATCTATAGGTAACCTATGCTTAGGACAGGAGTTGATAGGATAAGATTGCAAAAGACACTGCTCTCGATGTGTTTGTGCAACCATTTAGATCCTCTGTGGAGGAAGAACTGATACATATTATGTTAACAGTTCTCAACACGTTCCTCACGTAGCTGCAATAGGAGAGCCAAAGAAGACAGATGCCCCCCTGAACAGCCACAGGGAGTCCAGGTGCTAAAAAGCACACTTTGACTTTAGCACACTCTCATTTTACTCTAATGTTTTGTCACAAAGACCTATGCAATCAGTTCACACGCACAGTGGAAAGATTTTTACAGTAAAAGTTGAGATATTTTCTATATGTTCAATGAAGTTCACTTAAGTGCCTATTTCTCACTGCTAGGTACATGTCTGCTTGAGCTGGAAAACTTCCTAGCAAGGTGCAAGTCTTCAGCAGAGAAGTCAGTACTTGTCAGACCACGCAGAGAGTTCGCTTTTCAGGCAGGCTTACGCTTTCCTCACAACTCCTATGGCATTGCACATGCCTGCAACTACATGCCCCAGAACCAGCTTTTACTCTAAAAAGGCAGAAGATTTTTTCCCCAAGTTTTAACTTCAGCTTTATTTTGAAACATTCCCCTTTTTTCCTGACTAATGGAGCTCAAGAAGGAACACCTCCCTCAGGTCAAAAGCACGGAAGATGCTTGTGATGATCTGCCAAGATCTTAACAAGGGCGTCCTCAGCACCTCGAAGCTGCACATCAGTGGAATGTGTCCCATATATTAATAATACTTAAACTTCTCTCAACACGCTCAGACACAGTTTTGATGCCAACCCACAGCTCCTGAGGGCAGAATGACAGCATCCACACAGGCTATTAAGCTGAAACACGAGTGTTCATGTTTTTGGCTAATCCCCTCAAGTACTAGGTATTTTGGAATCCCTTTCTCTAAGACCACGAAACTACATATTTTAATCTGAAAGAGATGAGCTGCAACGCTGGCATTAATTGTGAGAACTCTCACTTGTTTATTACCACAGCACTATTGGTATATAGTGAACATATCAGATTCTCAAATGAAATATTTTTTAAGGAAATGGCTCAGACCCATGCAAAACCTCTCCAAGTAAGAACATTTTTGGGGTGTAGGTGGATTCGTTCAAAATACGCCCTGAGAACATTTCTCTGCACTGCCAGGAGTTAGGCCAGTGGGTGCTGACTGTGCTCCTTCTCACTACCCTTGTTCCAGGACATGCCAAGGAATGCTGAATCACTTCACCCT